CAGTTCTTATTAGCAAGTTTTAATTACAGACTTCCTTCTGAACAGTATTAACATTGATCTTATCCCTGTCCAGTTCTTATCACAGTTTACTTTCCAGTTCTTATTAGCAAGTTTTAATTACAGACTTCCTTCTGAACAGTATTAACATTGATCTTATCCCTGTCCAGTTCTTATCACAGTTTACTTTCCAGTTCTTATTAGCAAGTTTTAATTACAGTCCAGCAAGCAGGTAGTTAGTCATTGCGGGCCTTAATATTTTACTGGTGCATCCAAAATTATTAACTCCACCCATGCATCCTTCCATTCAACTCATTCATACCCATACATCATATTAAATCCACATTAATCAAATTGAGTCTTTTATTGCAATATTCTGCTGATGTTATAAGGGACCCCAAATCTGGGCCCCTATTGAAGGTCTAGTCATGGGAGGCACACAGACGAATGTCCAGTCTCAGGAGTAGATCAAAAGCAAACTTTTATGTCATCACAACCATGAAGAGACAGCCATCGTAATGTACACACAGGTCCCAGCACATGAAAAGGCTGCCGCAGCCCACACCCCTTGACCACACACTATATAGGCTTTTCTTATCTATCAAGATTCTACTGCACATGTTTTCATCTTGATTGGTGTTAGCCTTGTGCTGACTTCCTTCTGAACAGTGCTAACATTGATCTTATCCCTATCCAGTTCTTCTCACAGCTTACTTTTCAGACTTATTAACAACTTTTAATTACAGTCCAGCAAACAGGTAGTTAGTCATTGCAGGCCTTATCATTTTACTGGTGTGTCCAAAATTATTAACTTCTTCTTCATTGGGGTTAGCCTTGTGTTGACTTCCTTCTGAACAGTATTAACATTGATCTTATCCCTGTCCAGTCCTTCTCACAGTTTACTTTTCAGTTCTTATTAGCAAGTTTTAATTACAGTCCAGCAAGCAGGTAGTTGTTAGTCATTGCAGGCCTTAAATTTTTTTGGTGCATCCAAAATTATTAACTTCTTCTTGATTGGTGTTAGCCTTGTGCTGACTTTCTTCTGAACAGTATTAACATTGATCTTATCCCTGTCTGGTTCTTATCACAGTTTACTTTTCAGTTCTTATTTGCAAGTTTTAATCACAGTCCAGCAAGCAGGTAGTTAGTCATTGCAGGACTTGGTCTTTTAGAATTGCTGTCTCCAAAATTATTAGCTCCACTCATTCATTCTTCCATTCATTCCCATACATCATTAAATCCACATTTATCAAATCTGCGATGATATTATCGTGACAAAACCTGGGGGCAATCTCTGGATATTAAAATGAGGATTTGAAAGTTTGCATCAATGCATAAATCCTAACCTGTCCCTTTTCTTGTTTTTGCAGTGGTCACTGGCGCTACATCCGGCATCGGAAAAGCTTACGCCCATGAGGTGAGTGGCAGCTTTGAGTCAAGAGAGAAAAAGGGAGATCCAAATATGGGATTCATACTCTACTTGCCTATGTGTATTTATAATGAGTGATCTAAGCCTAAACACTACATTTATTGATGCTCCATTTGCAGCTAATACGCATAGTCCTGAGGTAATTTTGTGCCGTATTTTTGTACGCTCAGCCATGGAAACATGGGTCGCACTCTCTCAGCTTCAAGGCAAACCTCCTCTGAACAAATCTAGAAGGGGGATCTTTCTTTGAAGGCTTTCAGGCAGAGGCTGGATGACCATCTGTTGGGAGGGCTTTGATTATATCTTTCTTTATGCCAGAATGGGGTTGGACTGGGTGGTCCTTGGGGTCTCTTCCAACTGTATGATGTCATGTTATAACATTATGACTCGAAGTCCATCTGTCTGGAGGGCTTTGATAGTGTCTTTCTTCATGGCAAAAAGGCCGTTGACTTTCCCTTTGGGCCTATTCCAACTCTAAAATTCTAGAATTCAACAGTAGGTGTCTGGCCATCTGTCAGGAGGGCTTTGTGTCATTATGGCAAAAAAGGCAGTTTGTTTGTTTTTGTTAACACTTTATAGCAGCCTCAGTGTGAACATCATTGTTCTCACTGAGGGTGTTACTAAGTATACTCTCCACATACAACTCAGTCTGAATACCAAAGAAAAAGGTGGCAGCGAAAACAATTGAAGAAACAGTTTCAAGATCTCCCAGTTGCCTCTTTCCTATTTTAAAATTTCCCTTGCACCTATATATAATTTGGTTGGCAGCTTGTGGGATTCACTATTCTAAAATCCCCTGTTCCTTTTCCTGCTAAGTTCCTTATAATTAGCAGCAATCGGCTGGTTCCCCAGGTTCCTTATAATTGGTGGTACAGAGGTGTGGGAAGCAACATTGGGATTATTTTTATATCTTTCCCTGCCTAATAAATTCAAATTATTTAAAATCTCCTCTACCACTCAGCCTTCTTGCCATCGTTATAGGATTCTTTTAGGTAGTGCCATTTTGCCAGGTTGTCTTTTGATCTGCCCACTCTGCTTCTGAGTCTCTTCAGGGACTTCCAGGTTGCCCTTGAAGGCCCTTGAAAAACTACATCGCCCAAGATTCCATGGCATTGATCACTCACAATTAAAATGGTGTCAAACTGTATCATTTCTACTAGGGCTGGGCGGTTTCGTTTCGTTAATTCGTAATTCGTTAATAATTCGTTAATTTTTCCAATTACAAAACGATAACGAACCATTCTGGAGCAATTTTTTTAAAAAAACGAAGTTTTAAATAGTTTTGTAAATGCTTCGTATTTCGTTATTGTATTCTTTCGTTATTATTTTGAGGTCGTTTCGTTATTATTTCCGCATGTCTGAGGCAAGTTTTATGGGGTTTTTTTTGTTTAATTAGTGAAAAAAAATTATAATATCACACCAACAGTCAACAACAGAGGGAGAGGGAAGCTTCAGAAGGTTTTGGAGGTTTTTTAGCATATTTCGCGGTCGCGTCCGCCATTAACGAATCGATTCGTTATTGTTTCGGAAATCGATTCGTTAATGTTTTGTAATTTTTTTCACATTTACGAAATTTCGTAAATATCGAACTTTTTTAAAGGAAAATTTTGTAATTATTTTAAATAACGGAACGCAAAAAACCCCAAAAAACGAATCGATTTTAGAAACAAATTTTTCCGTTGTTACCCAGGCCTAATTTCTACAGTGTAGATGCCGCCATGACTTTTCCAATTCTGTTTTTCCCTTCCCAGCTTGCCAAGAAAGGTCTCGATGTAGTCCTGGTCAGCCGCTCCATGGAAAAGCTGAAGCAAGTGGCTGATGAAATTGGTGAGACAAAGAGCGACGCATCAACTTAATTGTTAACATTGGCTCTGCGTGTCATTTTAGTGTCTTAATATTCTCCCAATATTGCATTTGCAAAAGATGTACCACTGAAAAGCAGTCGGAAAGGGAAAGCGTTGGAAACAACTTGCAGGATGCATTCTGTACGTTGTTTAGTTGGCTGCATGAAGTCATTGCTCTAGTCTACAGTGTAGATGCATTTGACAGCTGGGATACTTTTCACTGGATTTGGGTTTGCTCCATTTGATACTTTTGGCTCCTTTTTAAAATGGGGAAACCGAGGCACGTCCATCTTTTCTTTCCTTTTCCACAGAGCAACTCTACAGCCGGAGCACCAAAGTGATCCAGGCGGATTTCACCGGAGGCTCCGAAATCTACGAATCTATCCACAAAGCTCTGGAAGGCTTGGAGATTGGCGTTTTGGGTAAATTATGCCTCCGTCTTTTCCATTTGAGAGCTGGGATTCCCATTTATTGACTCCCAACTAGAACGGATCCCTTAAAAGGGTTCTTGGATGGGGAGTCAAGGACAATCCTTTGGTTTCGATAGCTCTCCCATGGTAATTAAGGTGGTGCCAAACCACATTCATTCTACTTCAGGCATGGGCAAACTACGGCCCTCCAGGTGTTATGACTCATCGCTGAGCCTGGAACCTCAGGTTTCAGCGGTGGCCGGGAGAGCTTTTGCACAACTAAAACTTGTGCGCCAGTTGCGCCCGTACCTTGGGAAGTCTGATCTGGCCACAGTGGTCCACGCTCTTGTTACATCCCGAATAGACTACTGCAACGCACTCTACGTGGGGTTGCCCTTGAAGACTGTTCAGAAACTTTAACTGTTTCAGCGAGCGGCAGCCAGATTGCTCACCGGAGCGACATACAGGGAGCACACCACCCCACTGCTGTGTCAGCTCCACTGGCTGCCGGTTCAGTTCCGAGCACAATTCAAGGTGCTGGTTTTGACCTACAAAACCCTTTACGGTTCCAGTCCAGCGTATCTGTCCGAACGTATCTCCCTCTACGTCCCACCCCAGAATTTGAGATCATCTGGGGAGGCCCTGCTCTCGACCCCACCGCTATCATAAGTGAGGTTGGTGGTGACTAGGAGCAGGGCCTTCTCGGTGGTGGCCCCTCACCTGTGGAACTCACTCCTGGGGGAAATTAGGGCATCAACATCCCTCCTCTCCTTCAGGAGGAAAGTAAAGATGTGGTTGTAGGACCAGGCCTTTGGGCAATCTGACAACTAGATAAGGACAACAAGATGGATAGGACTGACAGGGCTGACAATTGTGGAATTGGAATTTGAACTATGAGATTGTGAACGCTGACTGTCAATGAGGAGAAAATGGTTTGTATTGGTTTTATTGCTTTTATTGGTTTTATGGTTGTAATGCAAGAATTGCTGTTTTCTGTTAATTGATATTATTTTGTCTTATTGCTGTTATGTGATGTGGGCATCGAATTGTGCCTTGCTTTTGTAAGCTGCCCTGAGTGCCTTTCGGGGTGAGAAGGGCGGGGTAGAAGTAACCAAATTAAATAAATACATACATAAATTTGGACTTCAACTCCCACAATTCCTAACAGCCGGTAGGCAGTTAGGAATTATGGGAGTTGAAGTCCAAAACACCTGGAGGGCCCAAGTTTGCCCATGTCTGTTCTAAGTGTATTTCCATCGAAAAACTTTCTGAGTTCTTTGCCAATACGAGTGCGTGCCTTTTGGTCTTTCCGCAGTGAACAACATTGGCATGACCCATTCGGTGCCGTCAGACTTCCTGCAGACCCCTGACCTCAAGAAGGTGACTGCCATCTTTTCTGTAAAGTGTTATTATCTAGTCCCTGGATTCCTGCACCATATTGGGAGAAAATGTGGGGGCAGTGACAGACTTTGCATTTCATAGAATCATAGAGTAGGAAGCGATCTCATGGGCCATCCGCTTTGGTTAGACCACACCTGGAATATTGTGTCCAGTTTTGGGCACCACAATTCAAGAGAGATATTGACAAGCTGGAATGTGTCCAGAGGAGGGCGACTAAAATGATCAAGGGTTTGGAGAACAAGCCCTATGAGGAGCGGCTCAAGGAGCTGGGCATGTTTAGCCTGAAGAAGAGAAGGCTGAGAGGAGATATGATAGCCATGTATAAATGTGAGAGGAAGCCACAGGGAGGAGGGAGCAAGCTTGTTTTCTGCTTCCCTGGAGACTAGGATGCAATGGAACAATGGCTTCAAACTACAAGAGAGGAGATTCCATCTGAAGATGAGGAAGAACTTCCTGACTGTGCAGAGCCGTTCAGCAGTGGAACTCTCTGCCCCGGAGTGTGGTGGAGGCTCCTTCTTTGGAAGCTTTTAAACAGAGGCTGGATGGCCATCTGTCAGGGGTGATTTGAATGCAATATTCCTGCTTCTTGGCAGAATGGGGTTGGACTGGATGAAGGCCCAGGAGGTCTCTTCCAACTCTTTGATTCTATGATATTCCCTGTATTTATCTTTTCCATAACAATGTTGGCAATGTGTTGTGTGCCTCCAAGACCATAGCGTTGGGCTGGAGGACATAGAAAGTGCCTGGGGAGGGCATACTTGTATAAACGAAACTAACACCAAACCCTATTCTCCCCCCCCCCCACTTTTTTTCCCTTTTAGTTCGTTAATGACATGGTGAATTGCAACATCCTTTCAACTCTGAAGGTTGGTGGAATGCAACCAAGTTTCCATCTGCTGTATATCGATATATATATAAATGTTCTGTGCGTAATGAGTACCCTAAAAACAAAAGAACCAATGAACGAGATCACACCAAATTTGGCAACAAAACGTCTCACAACACAAGGAGTGACCACCACTCAAAAAATTATGGTTTTGTCATTTGGGAGTTGTAGTTGTTGGGATTTATAGTTCACCTACAATCAAAGAGCATTCTGAACCCCACCAACGATGGAATTGAACCAAACTTGGCACACAGTTTTCCCATGACCAACAGAAAACACTGGAAGGGTTTGGTGAGCAGTGTCCTTTGGTTTGGGAGTTGTAGTTCACCTACATCCAGAGATCACTGTAGACTAAAGCAATGATGTATCTGGACAAAATTCTACAAGAATACTCAATATGCCCAAATGTACTGGAAGGGTTTGGTGGGCAGTGTCCTTTGGTTTGGGAGTTGTAGTTCACCTACATCCAGAGATCACTGTAGACTAAAGCAATGATGTATCTGGACAAAATTCTACAAGAATACTCAATATGCCCAAATGTACTGGAAGGGTTTGGTGGGCAGTGTCCTTTGGTTTGGGAGTTGTAGTTCACCTACATCCAGAGATCACTGTAGACTAAAGCAATGATGTATCTGGACAAAATTCTACAAGAATACTCAATATGCCCAAATGTACTGGAAGGGTTTGGTGGGCAGTGTCCTTTGGTTTGGGAGTTGTAGTTCACCTACATCCAGAGATCACTGTGGACTAAAACAATGATGGATCTGGACCAAACTCTAAAATAATATTCAATATGCCCAAATGTGAAGACTGGTGGAGTTTGGGGAAAATAGAATCTCAACATTTGGGAGTTGTAGTTGCCGGGATTTGTAGTTCACCTACAATCGCAGAGCATTCTTAACAACACCAACAATAGAATTGGGCCAAACCCCCCAGACAGAACCCCCATGACCACCAGAGTGGGCCACAGCCACGCATGGCAGGGGATGGCTAGTAACCTATAAACTATCAGAATTCTCCCCCTGTCCTTGTTCCACGGCTACAATTTTGCGCTATCCCACTCTCTTGCCTTTTGTTTACTGTCCAACCATGTTCCATAGGTTATCGTTTGCTGTTTTTAATGGCAGTTTTATATGCCATATGTTTTTATTTTACTGTAATTGCATTTTGTGGTTCATTTTATGCCCCAAGTCCCCCCGGGTTGATGGAGGTGGGGTACAAGAATAAAGTTGTTGTTGTTGTTGTTGTTGTTGTTGTTGTTGTTGTTGTTGTTGTTGTTGTTATTGAAATGCTTTGTGGGATGTACTTTGTTGGATGTGGATTAACTAAAACTGCAGGCAATGGAGAACTCAATTGAGATTACTCTTTCTTCGCAGATGACGGAAGCCATCCTTCCTCAAATGGTCGCCAGGTAGGAGACAAAGAGGGCCCTCTGTCTCAAGGGGGGAAGTTGTAGATGTTGTAGGACTGCAATACCCATTAGTCCTCTCCACTGAAGCCAGAGATTATTAGCCGAGCTTTAGCATAGCTGCTTAATCATCAGCAGCAATAGAGCTTACAACAACATCTGTTATAGAACTCCAGTATGCTGATGACAACGTCGTCTGTGCGCATTCAGAAGAAGATCTACAAGCCACTCTAAACACCTTCGCAGAAGCATACGAGAAGCTCGGCCTGTCATTGAACATTGAAAAAACCAAAGTGCTCTTCCAGCAGACACCAGCCATCCCCTCTCCAATGCCAGCGATACAGCTTAATGGTGTCACATTAGAAAATGTGGATCATTTCCGCTCCCTTGGCAGCCACCTCTCCACCAAAGTCAACATAGACACCAAAATACAACACCGCCTGAGCTCCGTGAGCGCAGCATTTTTCTGAATGAAGAAGAGAGTGTTTGAGGACTGGGACATCCGTAGGGAGACCAAGGGGCTTGTCTATAAAGCTATTCCCCTCCCAACCCTGCTCTATGCCTGCGAAACGTGGACTGTCTACAGACATCACATGCAACTCCTGGAATGATTCCATCAGCGTTGCCTCTGAAAAATCCTGCAAATCTCCTGGGAAGACAAGCAGACAAACGTCAGCGTGCTGGAAGAAGCAAAGACCACCAGCATTGGACAAGACAGAGGTACTCCTGGTTAGTCGTAAGACTGAACAGGGTACAGGATTACAGCCTGTGTTGGACGGGGTCGCACTCCCCCTGAAGACACAGGTTCGCAGCTTGGGTGTGATCCTGGACTCATCGCTGAGCCTGGAACCCCAGGTTTCGGCGGTGACCAGGGGAGCATTCGCACAATTAAAACTTGTGCGCCAACTGCGACCGTACCTTGGGAAGTCCGATCTAGCCACGGTAGTCCACGCTCTGGTTACATCCCGCCTTGATTACTGCAACGCTCTCTACGTGGGGTTGCCCTTGAAGACAGCCCGGAAGCTCCAACTAGTCCAACGGGCGGCAGCCATGGTACTAACAGGAGCGGGGCACAGGGAGCATACAACTCCTCTGTTGCACCAGCTCCACTGGCTGCCGATATGCTACCGGGCTCAATTCAAGGTGCTGGTCTTGGCCTTTAAAGCCCTAAACGGTTCTGGCCCAACCTACCTATCCGAACGTATCTCTGCCTATCAGCCCACCAGGGCCTTAAGATCTTCTGGAGAGTCCCTGCTCTCTATCCCGCCGGCTTCCCAAGTGCGGCTGGTGGGAACGAGAGACAGGGCTTTTTCTGTGGTGGCCCCTCGGCTTTGGAACACCCTCCCTATAGAGATACGATCAGCTTCATCGCTGATGGTCTTCCGGAAGAGATTAAAAACTTGGCTATGTCAACAAGCATTTAATTAGCTGGCACGATCGAATTTATGGAATTTAGGAACTAAGGTCTGGCAACTATGGATGACGAACTCTGGACTGCGATTTTTGTGATGAGAAGCATGATGTTATTATTGGTGGCCCAATAATGTTTATTATATTGTTTTAAATGTTGCAGTTTTTATATTGTGTATTGTTGTTTTTAATTGTTGTTAAACCGCAATGAGTCGCCGTTCTGGCTGAGATATTGGCGGTATATAAGTGTATTAAATAAATAAATAAAATAAATAAATTGAAGCGATGGTCCTCCGCCATCAACTCCGCTGGACCGGCCACGTTGTCTGGATGCCCGACCACCGTCTCCCAAAGCAGTTGCTCTACTCTGAACTCAAGAACGGAAAACTGAATGTTGGTGGACAGGAAAAGAGATTGAAAGATGGGCTCGAAGCCAACCTCAAAAACTCTGGCATAGACACTGAAAACTGGGAAGCCCTGGCCCTTGACCGCTCCAGCTGGAGGTCAGCTGTGACCAGCAGTGCTGCAGAATTTGAAGAGGCATGAGTGGAGGGTGAAAGGGAGAAGCGTGCCAAGAGGAAGGCACGTCAAGCCAACCCCGACCGAGACCGCCTTCCACCTGGAAACCAATGCCCTCCCTGCGGAAGAAGATGCAGAGCAAGAATAGGGCTCCACAGCCACATACGGACCCACAAGAACACTGGAAGACAATCATCCTCGGAAAGCGAGGGATCGCCTAAGTAAAGTATAGAGCTTACCAATTGAAAGGTTGACAGTTCGAAGTTGGGGTGAGCACCTGACCTTCAGCCCAGCTTACTGTCCAACTAAGCAGTCTGAAAACAGCTGTGAGTAGAGAAATTAGGCACCACTTAAGTGGGGAGATATTTTATGGCACCATAAAAGAAATACAAATAATGCTGGCAATCAAAGGAAGGAGGAAGTCTGTGATCAAGACTCTGCATCCTAGTGGATGGAGCGACACCACACCCCTGTGGCAGGAGTCGAGTACAAGGGTGAAAGGCCACTATACACCACAAAGTAATACAGTTATATATAATCATAAGAATGTATATCATATCTATGCTCATAGTACTATAACATTAAAGGCACTAGCTGCTTGTACAGAGTATGCTTCATGCAATTCTCTAAACCAAAAAAAAATCCTTATGTGGGATATACAACTGATCCTTACAGCAAAATGCACAAGTTTGTAAGTCCTTTTTGAAAACCAAAAGTTTATCAATAACAAATCAAAGTTTGTAAGTCTTTTTTTTTTTTGCAAGTCTCTTAATCCAGGATTTCTTAATGTGGGTCAAACAGCTGGTTCCTACAGCAAAATGCACAAGTTTGTTAGTCCTTTTTGAAAAAACCACAGTTTGTCAACAGCAAATCAAAGTGTGTCAGTCCTTTTCTGGAATCCACAGTTTATAAACCACAACCAATTTCGACCACGTGGAGTCTTCCTCAGGTGGTAGTTGATACAAGTGTAGAAATCCACAAATAGTCAGTTTTGCAAAGTGGAGAATTCTTCAAGTAGAGTCAATATATGATTGTCAACAATGATGTGGACCTACAGGGAACACATATGTTGTTCATTCGTTCAGTCGTCTCCGACTCTTCGTGACCTCATGGAAGAGTCGGCGCTGTCGCCACCCCCAGCTCCTTCAAGGTCAGTCCAGTCACTACAAGGATGCCATCCATCCATCTTGCCCTTGGTCAGCCCCTCTTCCTTTTACCTTCCACTTTCCCCAGCATATACGTGGCTAAAAAACATAGTATAGGAAAGCAATTACCAAATATGAAAGCATACAGAACAGGAACCAAAAATACTCACGTAATTTCTCCTACAAAGGTGCTCTGCTATTCGTTTGATTCTATGGCAAGCCCAGGAGAGGCAGGTAGACACTCCAGTATATAGAGAGAAACTTAAAGTATATGAAGAGTAATTTATAACTACCGGTATGGCTGTATCCCAGTTATCAATTGTAAGTTACTCAGAAGAAAAACCTGTTTAAAGAGGCATGTACTGGCTCACATGAAACATTGAAATGAAATGGAATGATTTGGACTCTTAGGTTGCACAGTTTTAAGAGTAAAAATCCAGAAGGCTTCACGTTATTGTAGTCTAGAGGATAAATCTTTGTTTGAGAAGGATGTAACCACCTCTAAAACTAGGACCCGGGACAATTCAGGACTATGGTTCATAACATTGAAATGTTTATATAGGTTTAAGTCAACGGCCTGATTCCTAATTTTAGTTTGTCTACTGGTCTGCCCGACATAGATCAGGGAGCAGGGACAGATAATGACATAAATGACACCTTTAGTGGTGCAGGTAGCAAAATGATGCAGTTGATAAATACTCTTCGTTTGGGCATTTTGAAAAGCCTTAGTTTGAATAAATTGCTGACATATGGTGCAATGGTGATAAGGAAAATTTCCTACTGAATTGGGTCCAGTCCTCATAATTTGAGAATCATGGTTAATATCCTGGACACTGAAGTTGGGAAAAATGCAAACATAATACCTCTATCTGTTGTCTGTCGGTTGTGAGTATATCCCTGATCCTGATGTGTATATATTTGAACATAAGCAACAAGTCAAGATTAAAGGCTCCTCTGAGAGTTTGAGTAAAAACCAGTGTTTTCTTAAGGTCAGAGGCTGTGCAGTAAATCTCTGCTGACTATTGATAAAAGACTCTGCAAAGTTTGGTTTGGTTCAATAGCATGCCCTGAGACAGTCACTCCAGTTCACAGCATCGGGGAGATATGGTAGAGGAACTATAAATCATGTACCTCCTCCCTGGTTTTTCAGATAGAGGTAAGGAATGTTGGGTGTTGCAGTCCAAGTAGGTCAACAGGGAAACATCAAGGGGCACCATGGGACAGTGACTGCATTGGGCTCGGGCTCTGGGTCACATTAAGGGGAAGACATGTTTGTTTCCTGCCTTTGCAGCATTTTGGAGAGTCTATAGCTGGACTTGGACAACTGTAGGGTGAACGGGACCTCTAACACACACACACCCCACCATGTATCTCTTTGTAGGAAGAAGGGGATCATAATAAACATCTCCTCTGGAATCGCCTGGAGACCCATGCCCTGGGCTGCGATGTACTGCGCCTGCAAGGTGAGACAAACACCAAGCAGGGCAGTTCAGCTTCTGCCCTGCAACTCGATTACTCTGCTTGAGAGACCCTGTTCCCATTTCTGATGTTTCCCAGCACCTCTGTGAAATTGAATGTGGGGTCACTGCCCCAACAGCACAGTTGTGCAAGCTATTTGGGAGGGAAAATGCCATGCCAAAGATCCAATGGGACCGTTCAATGTCACACGACACTTTCCTTGCTTCCCCTTTCAGGCTTCCGTGGATTTGTTCTCGCGGGCATTAAATGAGGAATACAGGTCTAAAGGCATCATTGTACAAGTATGTTGCAACTGAAATAGCCTTTTAACTCCTTTTTTCCCCTCTACACTCTCTCCTCCTCCTCTTTCTTCTCCATCCTTCTTTTTTGTCTTCTTTTCTCTCTCTTCGTTCTACTGCTTTGCTTTCCTCCTCTTTTTCTTTTTCCTTTTTCTACCACCGCTACCTCCTCCCCCTCTTCTTGCTCTGACTCCTCCCCTCCTTCCCTTTCTTCTTCTTGTTCCTCATCTTCTACCTTTTTCTGTCCTTTTCCTTCATCCCCCTTTTCTTGTTCTATTTCTCCTACTCTGTCTTCTTTATCTTCATTCTTTTCATCTCTTCCTTCCCATCTCCTCCTCTTCCATCACCTTGTTTTCTTCTGTTTGTTCTCTTCCTTCTTCTCTCATCTTCTGTCATCTTCTTTTTTCTTCTCATCTTCCTTCATCCTCTTTTTCTTCTCTTTGTTCTCTTCTTCCTTTTTCACTCCTCTTCCTTCATCATATTTTTCTTCCTCCTTCTCCTTATCTTCTACTCTTTCTGCTCCCTCCTCCTCTTCCTTCAATTTCCTTTTCTTTGTTCTCTTCCTTCTTTTCTCCTCCTCTTTCTGTTTCTTCTTTTTCCTATTCATCCTCCTTCCTTCTCCTTTTCTCCTCTTCCTTTGTCCTCTTTTTCTTGCCATCTGATCATTCTCTTCTCTCTTCTTCTCGTGGGTGTTAAACGTGGAATACAGGTCTAAAGGCATCATTGTACAGGTACGTTGCAACTGAAATGGCCTTTTAACTCCTTCTTGTTTTACTCTACACTCTCTCGTCCTTCTCTTCCCTTTTCTTCTCTTATTGTCTCCACTTCCTTTGTCCTTTTTCTTCTTTTCATTATCTTCCTTCTTCTCTCCTCTTCCTTCATCTTATTTTTCTTCATCTCTTCCTCCTCCTCCTCTCAAGCTCCAAGCTCTGTATCTATCAGGCCTTTGCCTCCTCCCTCCCTCCCTCCCTCCATCCTTGGATCCGTCTTTGGAATATGACCTCTCGTTCATCCCATTTCGAGAGAACAACACACCTTTGTCCTTCTCTTGGGCTTCCCTTTCCCTCCACAGAGCGTCTTACCACTGTTTGTTGACACCAACATGAACAGGCTCAACAGCTTCCAGGCCATTAAGACATCTCCCGAGGTCTATGCCCACAAAGCCTTGAACACCGTGGGCTTCACCAACAGAACCTCGGGGTGCCTCAGCCACAGCTTGCAGGTGAGTTGGGGGCAAGAGGCATTTCCTCACTCAACAAAACCCACCCCACTTTCCTGGTCAATGAAACCCTTTGGAAGCGTCCCAAGGAGTTGAGACTTGAGGTCAGTTTTCTGCCCAGTCGCTCCAGAACACCAATAACTTCTCCCCAAACAAAGCTCTGCTTTGGATCCAATTATAGGAAGAGATCTCCCCTGTCTTCAACAATAGGAAAAGTGGATACAAAGTAGTTTTGGGTTGTGTTTTTTGCTGGGTGGAGAAATCGAACTAAAATGAATATACGAGAGAAGGACCATGTCATCTACATACAGAAATAGTGTCAAGCAGTGTAGATGTGCCTTAAGCCACTCTTCTGGTGACCTTGCTTCTGCCAAACTTTTCCAAAAGTGATATTACCTAACTTTCCTCTCTCTTTGGCTTTTGATTCAGCATTCCATGTTGGAATGGTTCTTCCCACCGTCATTAATGTACACATCCTTTGGAGTTTTCATCTATCGGTCTACGCTGAAGTCCCTTTTCAAATAATGGAATTTCACCTTCCTGATGGTTTTTGTGGAAAGGAACCGGACCAGGACCAGGACCAGGACTGTGCAGAGCAGTTGGTTGCTATGTTCCAAACCAAATCCTTGTATTATTGAAATGATGGATGCGTCACAATTTAATAAATTCCTCATTATGCATTATGGATGGAAATGTATTGTTTGCTACTATAGTTCTATGTATTTGCCCCCCCCCCTTTTAAATATCCAAATTCTGCTTCTGTTGCCCTTAAATAGCTTTTGGAGATTCCTGACACTGGCTGCAACGTTTTAGTCCCACCTTTGGACAGATTTCTTCTCAATTGCAAAATGTATCGGAGCCAAGAATACCTTTCCCCTTTCTCTTTACAAACCTTCTTCCTCCTTTCTTTGAGAGTTACAGATGCACCATCGCATCCAGGGATCGATGGAAATAGCATTTCAGTTGAGAGTTTGGAGTCCCTGAATTTAAAAATCCCAGAAAATAGGTAGCTATGGTTTTCTGTTTGCAAGTCTGCACTTGATCACACTATCCAACTTGATATGACAATAATGTAACATAGGATCGGATGGCGAGGAAAGAGGCCTTAACATGGAGGAAGCAACACCAGCAGTTAAAACTTTGTAGATGACATCCTGCTAGTCATAGAAAATAGCAAACACTTGGAACAATGTCCTTTCTAGCCATTTTCGAGGTCCTCGAGGAGATAGGGTTGTGTTGGAGTATCCCATGGTCCTTTCTAGGGATCTTTGACATTGTGTTGACATTGAGTTGGACTACCCTATGGCCAATGATGGCAAACAGAGGCTGGATGGCCATCTGTCAGGGGTGATTTGAATGCAATATTCCTGCTTCTTGGCAGGGGGTTGGACTGGATGGCCCATGAGGTCTCTTCCAACTCTTTGATTCTATGATTCTATTATTATTATTATTATTATTATTATTATTATTATTATTATTATTATTATTCCCATTGCTTTGCCATCTACTTTGGCCTACCCTGTTCCCCCATAAAACAACCCCATTGCTGAGATAAATTCCATCTTTTCCCTGGAGGAATTAAAATCCATAAAACTTTCATCCATTAAAGGTCAATCACCCCAAAAATCCACCAGTATTCCCAGTTGGCCATGTTGCATTTGTGTGCCAAGGAAGGGGACAAGGAAGGGAGGGAGGAAGGAAGGAAACAGAGAGAAAAAGGGGAATGAAAGAAAATGAGAAGGAAGGAAGGAGGAACAGATGGAAGGAAGGAAGAAAGGAAAGAGAGAGAGAAAGGGGAATGAAAGGAAAAAAGGAAGGAAGGAAGGAAGGAAGAAGAAGGAAGAAGGAAGGAGGGAAGAAAGAAAGAGAGAAAGAAGGGAAAAGGAAAGGAGAAGAGGAAAGAAGGAAGGAAGGAAGGAAGGAAGGAAGAAGGAGGAACAGAAAGAAGGAAGGGAGAAGGAAAGAGAGAGAGAGGAAGGGGGAAGAAAAAAGAAGGAAGAGAGAAGAGAAAGAAGGGAGAAAGAGGAAAGAAGGAGAGAAAGAAGGGAAGAAGGAAAGAGAAGGGAAGGAAGGAAGGAAGAGAGGAGGAAGAAGAAGGAAGGGAGAAAGAAAAGAAAGAAAGAAATTGCAATTAAAGGAAAAGGAAGGAAGGAAGGGTGAAAGGAAAGAGAGAGAGAGAAAGGGAAATGAAAGGAAAGAGGAAGGAAGGGCGAAAGGAAAGTGAGGGAGAGAAAGGGGAAGGAAAGGAAAGAGGAAGGAAAGGAAGGAAGGAAGGAAGGAAGGCAGAAAGAAAAGAGAGAAAAGGGAAGAAAGGAAGGGGAAGGAAGGAAGGATAGGAGGAAGGGGAGGAGAAAGGAGAGAGAGAGAAAGAGAAAGGGGAAAGAAAGGAAAGGAAAGAGGCAGAGGGCAGGCAGGCGGGCGGGCGGGCGGGAGGGAGGAGGAGGAAAGGAAGGAAGGGGAAGGAAGGAAGGAAGGAAGGAAGGAAGGAAGGTAGAAAGGAAAGAAAGAGAGAAAGAAAGGGGAATGAAAGGAAAGGAGAAGGAAGGAAAGAAGGAAGGAAGGGAGAAAGGAAAGAGAAAGAAAGGAAGGAAGAAGAGAAGTAAAGGAGAAAGGAGAGAAAGAGAAAGAAAAGGAAATGAAAGGAAAAGGAAGGAAGGAAGGAAGGAAGGGAGGTGAGAAGGAAGGGAGAAAGGAAAGAAAGGTAGGAAAGGAGAAGGAAGGGAAGAAAGATAAAAATGAAAGGAAGGAAATAAGGAAGGAAAGGAGAAGATGGAAGAAGAAAAAAAGAAAGGGAAAGAAAGAAAAGAAGAAGGTAAGCAAGGAAGGAGGGAAAGAAAGGAAAGGGGAGAAGGTATGTGGGGTAGGAAGGAGTGAGTGGCACTCAGAAAGTGTGTATGGCCAATGTGTGTGTGCCTTGGAGCCAGAAGGGTGGCGCAAGCCAAGGTTTGCCAGGGGGAGCATCCTTATTGGGAGCGTGCGCTGGAACTGATGTCTCCAAGCCAGCCTTGCGCTGCGCATTCGTCCTGGTGCAGGCCATTGGCACACAGAGTTCTCATTCCTCGCACAAGGTCCTCTATGGCTGGTGCACCACAGACACGTCTCCGAGACGATGTACATCTAGGCCAGTGGTTCTCAACCTTCCTAATGCCGCGACCCCTTAATACCCTTCCTCATGTTATGGTGACCCCCAACCATAAAATTATTTTTGTTGCAACTTCATAATTGTAATTTGGCTATTGTTATGGATTGTAATGTACATATCTGAGATGCATGATGTAGTTTCATTCACTGGACCAAATTTGGCACAAATACCCAATATGCCCAAATTTGAATACTGGTGGGGTTGTGGGGAGAGTATTGATTTTGTCCTGTGGGAGTTGTAGTTGCTGGGATTTATAGTTCACCTACAATCAAAGAGCATTCTGAATTCCACCAACAATGGAATTGAATCAAACTTGGCACACAGAACTCCCATGAACAACAAAAAGTACTGGAAGGGTTTGGTGGGCATTGACCTTGAGTTTTGGGAGTTGTAGTTCACCTACATCCACAGAGCACTGTGGACTCAAACAATGATGGATCTGGACCAAACTTGGCATGAATTCTCAATATGCCCAAATATGAACACTGGTGGAATTTGGGGAAAATAGACCTTGACATTTGGGAGTTGTAGTTGCTGGGATTTATAGTTCACCTGCAATTAAAGAGCATTCTGAATTCTACCAACAATGGAATTGAATCAAACTTGGCACACAGAACTCCCATGACCAACAAAAAATACTGGAAGGGTTTGGTGGGCATTGACCTTGAATTTTGGGAGTTGTAGCTCAC